ACCACGCCGCACTCGGAGGACGGGGCGGGGCGGGGCATCGCGCCTGGCCGGCGGGCGCTGACCCCATGCCCTCGGGGGACCGCAAAAACCCACCTGCGTGGGCCTCCGTGTCGACATCTGAACAAGGACTGAAAGACCCCTACCTTGCGGGCTGCCTTGAAGGATTAAGATGTTTCTAAAGGGTTTTAACCAAAAAAGTCCCTGATGAAGCGGGAGTCGGGGAGCACTCCCTCGCACCTGGAAACCCTCGCCCCTGGGTGCTGGGATTAAAAATCCGCGGCAGCACCTTGCCCAAGGCTGAATGCTGCCAGCTGTCTGTGGCACTGGCCATGTTGAACTTGGAGCTTCTCAGAGCCACACGCTTAAGTGACCTGTGCAAGGTCTCCATAAAGACTGCTCAGATTTGCTAAAACAGAAATCGGCAGCCTCGTTTCTCTTGAGAACGTATCGTATTTCCTTCGGGCAGCTGTCATCCAGTAGACACGCAAACAAGGGGCAGGCTTGGTGGGCTCAGACCGGACTGGTTTCAGTTGAATGTCCGCAAGCCCCAAAGCGGAAAACCATCAACTAGAAGCGGTTTTAGAGCTGCAGAGTGGTTCTGGCGTCTGCCGAGGCCAGCAGCGACCAGGACACAGAAGCCTGGATTCCAGTCCCCGCTCCTGACACTATGCCCCTGACGGGGTCCGTGTGATGGGGGGCGGGGGGGCAGAGGTGCAGATCCTGCCCTCAGAGTCAGGGCCCTAGGATAAACCCCCACGCGCCCCAGCTAATTTGAATGGTATTTTATGTCTTGCGATTAATGGTTTACTATCCCCTGGCAAACCCTCGCCTACTTTTTCAGAACCCACGGTCCATCAAAGGAACCTTTGGAATCTTTGCTGACCTCAGTCCTCCTCATCCTCCAGATCACAGCTCAAATATCGCTTCTTCCGAGAAGGCTTTCCTGACTCCTGCCCCCGTTACACAGGCACGCGCACACGCACGCGCACACGGGCAGGTCTGACTCCGGCTTTCCTTGTCCCTGTACTTAACCGCACAGCCCGGCTGGTTCATAACGAAGCACGTGGACGCGGTGCCACCTCCTACCTGGGCAGTGAGCTCCAGGAAGACGGAGACTCTGGCTCTTTCCTTCACCCTGTCCATCCCCACTGCACCCAGCAGGAGCTCAATGAGCACGTCTGAGAGGGAGGGGGGAGGGAGGGG